TAGTTCACGTAGAACTCCACAGAAACACGTCTTAGCGCACTGCAGCAACTCGCGTGGCTGCCCCAAAACTAAACCTAACAGGGTGGAAAGCCCTGAATGGTGCTGATTTCATAATACTTACGGAGACGAAGCCAGGAAATGTCGGAGACCATGCAGTTTTAACAAGGACAGAAATTCGGGAAACGGTCACGCCGGCACGTGCTCACAGCAACCGTAGCCGGTGGAAACAGCCGTTTGCTCTACGTCACGGATATAGAGAAGAATGTTCGCTACCTCGTCGACACCGGCGCAAAAGTTAGCGTTCTTCCCACACCGACAAAGAAGCGTCATCATGACCCATCCTTCAATCCCTAAGCAGCCAACGGCAAGGCAGTCGCGACATTCGGGGGACGGTAGGCCTACCTCAACTTAGGTTTACTTAAACCTATCCACTGGATTCTCCTCCTGGCTGACGTCTCTATGCCCATCATTGGCAAAGACTTGCTAAACCACTACGATCTACTCGTAGATGCTCGCCGTCGACGTCTGATAGGTAACAAAACCAAGTTATTCATTGGCAGCACCACCTGTGTATGTCCGAGTTTAGCCATCGTTAGAACCAAACAATCAGGCAGTGCATCCTACCAAGCAGTTTTGGAGAAATATCCAGAGTTGCAGCAACCGAAGCATACTTCCGTGCACAACCAGCAATGTTATGCATCACGTCACAGCCAGAGGTCCACCTGTGTCACGCGAAGCGTGCCGTCTAGCCCCCGATAAGCTCAAAACGGCGAAAAGCGAATTCGACCACATGCTCAAACCGGGCATTATCAGACCGTCAAACAGTATTTGGGCATCAACACTGCACATGGTTCCCAAAAAGGATAGCAACGACTGGCGTCCAACCGGTGACTGCCGAAGGCCTAACACCAAAACAACTCCGGACTGCTACCGGAAAACAGCCATCATTACTCCTTTTGGCCTGTTTGAATTCCTGAGCATGCCATTTGGTCTTCGGAATGCAGCACAAACATTCCAACGCTTTATGGATGATGTCTTCCGTGATTTGAATTTTGTCCACGCCTACTTTGATGACTGTTTCATTGCGAGTCCAGATAAGGAAACTCACCTTAAACATTTGGACCACGCACTCGAAAGACTTAAAAACATGGCATCACAGTCAACTTGAAAAAGAGTGAAATAGGAGTTGAATCACTCAGCTTCCTTGGGCATACCATTGACAACAAAGGTATACGCCCATTGAGAGATAAAGTGGCGGCCATCACAAACTATCCAGAGCCGACCACTTTGAAACATCTCCGCACTTTCAATGGCCTGGTAAGTTATTACCGAAGGTTTATCCCCGACTGTGCCTCTGTCATGAGACCACTAACAGATCTGCTTCGAGGGACTACAAAGTTCATGACTCTGGACAACGTGGCTAGATTCGCTTTCTCTAAAGTCAAGGAAGCCATTTCGAACGCAACCATGCTTATGCATCACGACCCCAATGCTCCTTTGAGTATTGCTGTTGATGCATCTGACTCAGCAATTGGAGCAGGTTTGCAACATTTGACTGACAACCAGTGGCAACCGTTAGCCTTTTCCCGAGGCGGCCGCAATACGTGGAAACAAGATACAGTACATTTGGTAGGGAACTCCTAGCTATGCACTGTTCTGTACGCCACTTTCGACATTCTGTGGAAGGTCGTAACTTCATTATTTTCACAAACCACAAACCGTCAACCTTTTCCCTCAGCTCGGAGTCTGACAAATACTCTCCGCGTGAGTCGCGACAGCTTGACTACATTTCCCAGTTCACGTTAGACATCTGCCACATTTCTGGAGCAAATAACTCCCTAGCCGATGCACTATCACGAATAGCTTCGATAAATCATGTCGAGGGCGTCGATTTCATTGAACTAGCTCGGCGTCAAAAGGAAGACCTTGAGCTGTATCATGAGTTGTCGTTCACAGCCCTCGAGCTGCGACTTTGTCCGGTTGAACCAGACAAGGATACAATTTTGTGCGATGTCTCTGCTAGTCAACCACGCCCAATAGTTCCGAAGAGTTGTCGACGCAACGTCTTCAATGCGTTGCACAAACTCTCTCATCCAGGTGTACGAGCCACCATGAGGCTTATCGCACAACGTTTCTGCTGGCCTGGGATGAACAAAGACGTTAAGGTGGGGGATCAGTCGTGCTTAGCTTGTCGAAAGTGAAAAGTCACGCGACACACGAAAAGCCCTTTAGGCTTTTTCTAGCCCCAGACATGCTTTTCGACCACGTCCATATAGATATTGTAGGACCCCTACCAGAACCGAATGGATGTACCTACCTTTTCACTTGTGTCGATCGTTTCACACGACGGCCAGAAGCAGTACCCGTTAAGGATATTACTGCTGAAACGGCAGCTCATATTTTCGTCGAGGGATGGATCGCGAACTTTGGATATCCATCTTACATCACAACTGACTATGGGCGCCAATTTGAGTGTGGATTATTTCAAGCTCTAACTGCACATTTAGGTTGCACGCGGTTCCGAACGACAGCCTACCATCCACAAGCAAGTGGCATGGTAGAGCGTTTCCATCGACAGCTGAAAGCTACCCTTTCAGCTGCAAACATACCTCAGTGGACCGAGGCTCTGCTTCTAGTCCTACTAGGTATTCGTAACACCTCGAAAGTTGATGCTGGATGTACCCCTGCAGAACTCATCTATGGTACCACTCTTCACCCACCAGGTGACTTTGTTTCCCCTTCAACTTTCAAACATGTTTCCCACAGGGCATCGTACGTGACTAGATTTACAAACGCAATGCGTTCAGTTAGGCTGATGTCTTCGTTCACCCTAGTTTACAAAAGACATCACACTTGTTTATTCGCCACGACGCCGTTCGCCGACCGCTTGAACCACCATACGACGAGCCATTCAAAGTGATCAAGCGACACCGGAAATTCTATATAATTGAGCGAAACGGACGTGAGGATACTGTCGGTATCGACAGTTTGAAACCAGCTTATTTCGAAGGCAACCGCATTATCAGTGACGTTTCAGCTCGCTACAGCCGACTGGCGGATAGCTCAATTATCGAAATTCTTGATGATGTGCCTGAGAACGCACAGTTACGACAACCATCAGCGCAACAGAAAACACGATCAGGTCGAACCGTCAGGTTCCCGGAGTATTTGAAGTCGTATTCAACTTGTTGGAGTGAGATAAAATGTGCCAACCATATTTTTTTAATGCAATATTTTTTCCGAGCAATATTTTTCTCATTTACCGGCAATGCGCAAACCCCTCGTGCATTTTGCCTTTTTATGTCTATTTTTTATTACCATGTAATGAAACTTTAAAGAAACGGTGAAAATAAGCGCAAATTTTTATTTTTCGATATGTTTATATATAAATAATCCCCACTTTTACGAAGCGCTTTCATGGTATTAAAGACTTTCATTTATAGTCCAGGTGCAACGAGCACTGGACGGAACGTCAAAAGGAACTGAGGACCGTGATCGACGTACAATTCGGTTTATTGTGCTTTATTTTTAACTTCCACGACACCCTAGAATAAGTTCAGACAACCAGGGGCCACCTCACACAGTGAGCCCATCGGAAGAGTTTTGCCAGTGGAGAAACCACTGGGTTTTACTTCCGGCTGGTATCGTCTTAGGGTCCTCATGAACCCACTAGGAGGAGAGTGATCTGTAGCGTCACACACTCCCCCAAAATCAATAGCCTAGGGTTTGACGACTTCGACGTTGATGCTGACCTTGATAGTTTAACTGGACTCGCTAAGCTGAAGGTACCGGTCAGGCATTCCCGCCATTTGGCACGCTGTCGTGTCACTTTGCACTGCTCGTATCCGACTCTCTAGCCAGTTAGTTGGAACGCATCGGTATTTTGGCACAACCATCCAAATATACTATTCCATCCGACTACGCTATCGTGTTCTTCCTTGTTCTCGTGCTCGTGGGTATATAACAAGTCCGAGTAATTAGTGATTGGTCTTTGCGCCTGTCAAGTTTGCACCAGGACAAATCCTAAAGTGATATACAATGTAAAACGGACACTTCAGTCAAGCAGGAGAATCTTTGCAAAACCCTAATTGGACTACTTACAACCTGCATCATCTTCACGAGAAGTGTAGGACAACGGCCGCTGAAAAATATAGAAACAGTTCGTCTCCTTTTTACGCGGAGAAATAAATATCTGTCACTCAAATATTGAGAATGAGCTAGCAGTTATTTTAAATGGTGCACTTGGAGCTTCGGTCCATTGTCACTTGGCAGCAGCCTTGAGGGTTTTTTCACAAACTTAAAGGAATCTATCTTCGGCTCTTTTCACCACAGAGTGAGGACTTCATATGTGTCCTCGTTTTGAGAAAAATCGCTTGTGGCCTCTCGATATCCGGAGGACTGCATGACTTCAAGAAGAGCTAAGAAGAAAGTGATTGGGTTACGGTACAAACCTTACCTGGATCGTCTTGTTACGCCCAAGCTACAACCAGTCCAGTACTGCAAGATCGAAGGGGATGTGATCGTGATGTATAAAATTGCCCTCAATCCCCTTCATCCCAGCGGATTCTTCTTAAGCTTGAACCAAAAGCTCCACGTTAAGAGCCACCCATTAAAAAGAGAGAATAAGAGAGCAATTACAAAGATTCGTGCAGTTGTGGCAGTTGTGGCTGGCAAACTGCGGAACTCCCCCCAGATGTTCTGAGTGCTCCTTCTCCTGATACTTTAAAAGGAGATTAGATGCACATTTAAAGTCTCCGAATACCGATGGGTTGCAGTCGGTAAGCTTTCCGTCATATATAGACAGGGGGGAGTGACAGTTTAGAGAGAGCAGATTCATTTATAATCGATTATCTCTATTCTTTCAGGTTTTTAGGAACCAGAAAAAAACTATGATCATTCGAAATAAAGAGCATATTTCAGTAAACAGATGCAGAACTCAAGGAGCCATCGTACACTAATTATTCAAAACGAAGTTTGAAGTACAAACTTTGTTTAAGTAAGCACACAGACAAACCGCGGTCTTAACCCTGGCGTCGATTAATGTCGGTGAGCTTTAGGAGCAGAATTGTCCAGGTTACTAATGTGTCGCCGTCTGCGACATCAGAGCAGTTGCGAACCTTATTTGGTCATGTGGGAGTTTTGGAAGAGGTCGTGGTTTATCCACCAGATGATAAGGAAGAACCTGCTAGCAAGGTAAATGATTATGGTTTTGGTGACGATTTAGGTGTGCTATATCCGTTATCAAGAGGCTATAAACGCTGAAGTCGCACTACATTTAAACAATACTGTCTTCCTCGACAGGGCGCTGATAGTACTCCCACTCTCAGGTGAACGGGAATCTATTCCAGATGAGAAGTATGCCAACCTTGTCAGAGCCCCTCCAAACACTGCCGCGGGTGTTCTCCCTCGGACCGCTGACTGGCCTCTAGATGTTATTAGCATGGTGGTTGGTCGTCCGGGCGAGCAAGTGATACATACCTTAGAGCCTCGCTTATCCAGTTTGGCATTCCCTCTCTATCCGCCTCTCCCAGCAACCACTGATGGTAGCCGTATTGAAGAAATAAGAAGGACAATTTTGGTTACAAATCTCGACCCGAAAACAACCGGTGATCAGGTATGTTTGCCATGAAGTGTGTCGAAACAGCTGTTTGCGGCGTCTTATCGCGTCAGCATACATCAGCAATCAGTCTAGTATTTTCCGGAACACTGTAGTGTTGAATCCACGTAGTACTGTAGTGTTTGCGAGAGATACAATTATTGTCTTGACTAAAGAGTATTGAAGCACTCCAAGGTGCATAATTCCCTACTGGAATTACCTCTTTTGATTGGCTTATTCTAGTCTATCTATGCGTCCTAAATTATTGTCTACGGATATTTTGTATATGCTTCGAATAAATTATCTGCAAATAACAATAGTACCTAACGATTCCTCTGTGCTTTTTGTGTATCGTGTTTTCCAGCGCTACTGGTCATCGGCAGTGTGCCATCGCAACAGCACCACCTAATTGCTGCGTAAATAATGCTCTTGACTGCGGTTCCAAAGGGGTCGGTGGCTTTTCTGTACATTTTTGTCTTTTCTTTTTTGTTTTTGCTGATTAGTTACCACTGCATGAGGCTTAATTACGCCTCGTCTCCTGCTAAGGCGACCGATTTGGTTTATGTCGATTTTAATAGAATATGTCTGTGCAGCGTTTGGTTCTGCGAATTCAAGGAGTTCGAGTCCTACTTAAGGTAACTTATAGGGTTACCTAAGTGCTAGTCTTATCCTGTTATTCACTAGTTAGATTTGCATTATAAGTTATGTAATTTGGCAATGTCCGTATATTGTATTCGTTTTCTTTCAAGTCCATTTAATTTTAGGTATTAGAATTCTTCAACAAACATGCTGAAGTACGTTGCGTACGAATGGCTGGGACGGAGTTTGATCGAGCTGCTTATGTGGAGTTTACTCAACAGCCATCAATTATCAAGGCTTTTGGCCTTATGGGAGCTACACTAAATGGTCGTCAGGTTTGTTACGCTTATGAACTACATGTTTCAGATCATGGTACAACATTCCAATTGTGCTATTATTAAACCTGCCAACAATGTAGCTATGCTTGATGATACAGCTAAGCGTCTAGCTCCGAATGAACCGGTTCCAAGTGTCGCCCATGGTGAGCTAAGTTTTACTTTACAGTTCCTTTTCATGAACATTTTACGCATTACAGTGTACAGACACTCGCGGCAGGTGTTTTATAGATTTTGAAAAAATCTGCAGTCGATTCATAAAGTCGTTTTTGTTTGCATCCAGTGAACTCTCCAGCGTGGTGCAGATAAAACTTGTGTCTGAAGTCGACCCACCAATAAGATAAATGTAACCCAGGAACTGCAAATGTGTGCACATGGTATCAGACTACATTTGTTGTGAAGTAACTTGTGATACTGCTTGGTCGGAAAACTGGAAATAGGTGGTATAGGGTGCAGTATCGTATCCTATGAATTGAGTCTGTGTCGCAGGACATAATTCTGCATTTACTTTAACCGATCCAGTGTCAGTTTACGTCGCCATCTCCAAGACTTTTCTTTCTGAAGACAACAAGTCAGTAATGAAAACGCAAATGGTTATGCTTGGATTTAGATGTCTGTATTTTCTCAACAAGTAAAACAGTAAGTATGTGTTTTCAAATACTGGGTTGCTAAACCATACTTGACTTGAGATAGTGGTTAGACTTGCATATCATAATGATCCAACAAGCTGTGCTAGTGGAACGCTTGTACTCTAGGTCCTACCATGTCAGATCTGTTGAATAGTGGTTAGGCGAAAAGTAGTTACTGTTGTGGGATTTTCTACACTATGACGGTAGTGTGCCTGAGGGCGAAGTCGAATTATTGTACTTTACTAACGGCGGTAACCTGTTTCCGTATGACGACCAGCGCTGCCATGCTGATGCAGCCTTTTCAACGGAGGCAGAGAGTTATAAAAAGGTTGACCCATAAACACACTTCCATTCCCCATGGTGACTTGGAGCCATGGGTACGGATTAGAACAAAATCTCGAAACTGCAACCCCAAAAAGGTTGTGTGACAGGCCTCAAGGGCTATGCAGTCACAAATCCATTTCTTATTTAGGTACCTTAAAAAGAAGTGACCTACGATGTAAATAGCCGGGAAGTGTCAGTCACCTGCTTTCTTCTGGTAGTACACAAGACCTAGTCAATCATAACTCAACTTTAATTCCTCCTTTGGCTTCCCCTTCCAATACTACTATTAAGCCTCTTACACACTACTTAACCTCATTCTGCGAACATTGCCAACGATCAAAGCCATCGGAACCTCATACTTAGTCTCCTAAGATCCCTCCATTGATTTATGTTGTAGCTTTCAACATCTGAACTCTGTACCAAATCAGACAGCAAACGTCGCACACCAAAACTCTGGAATCTCTAACCATGGATATGTTCTGTGTCTTTAAGAAACGAATACAGGACCAGATTGATTATTGAGTTGAACTCAAATGATCATAATAGTAAAGCTTCGAAATTCACCTTCAGGGTATCTGGAGATCCGATGGCTAGCTATCGTGGACTAGGTGGTTAAGAGATAGCACTGAACTGTAGAGCAGGAAGAGCGCTTCTCGACTAGATACCGGTCAACAGCTATCTATGTCCTGTTCAACTGAATGGGTTTGTAATAACCAGGAAGGATCTTCAGTTTAGGCAACCCCTTTTCGTTATCTTCTGTACACCTACGGACTGGAGTTCGGACGGTACAAACGATGAATTCTATCATCACTTGCCAGTTTTGCTACAGGAAGCAAAACGTTCAGATGTCATAATGGCAGGTAACATTTCCGCTCAAGTAGGGACGCTAAGCAGATCCGAAAGGTATCTACAGGGTCTCATGCCAAAGAACTGACAATGATGATCGCCTGTTGCAATTTCGCTCTGACAATCACTTGGTCCTGTTCAGCACTGACTTCGGACATAAGGAGAGACACTGCCTTATACGGCATCCACCGACATCAAGACGATGGTCGAAGATAAGTTGTATTGCTATAAGCCACTGTTGTGGAAGATCGGAGGTTTGGGGAGCAGAGTCCCGCTCTTTCTATAGTACCAGCTTGAAATTTGATCACGCGCTAGTAAGCGACAGCTAATCATTTATCTAAGTGTGATAGCAACATGTCGTGAGGAAACTTGGCGAGATTTTAAGTCTACTGTAGGAGCGGTGGTTAAGACGATTGCTAATTTACACCCAAAGTTGACCGAGAGTCCTCATGTCGATCGCGAAGGAGATGGAGAAATCTCCGATTTAAATAACACCGGGTAAACGTTCAGGTTTATCAAAAATACGGGCAGGGAGCAGACGATGGTTAGTGAAACCATCACTAAAATAGATAGGACGCAAATAGGCTGTCAGAACAGGCGGCTGAAACCTTGGACAGCACTGTTCAACTGACCCTTCAGAAGCGCATCACCTGTTAAATATCCAGCCTGAACGGCCCTCCAACTTTCTTTAAAGTTGAGGAACCTATACCAAACCTGCAACAATGCTAAGCATCTAAACCTGACAGTTTGCTACCTGCTGTTTTCAAGGATGGAGGTAAGAAAATGCTGATAAGTGACCAAGATACTAGGTTGTGCATGGAAATCAGAGGTAGTCCCACCATACTGGTTTAACTCATTAATCATTCCAGAAGGAGGAAGAAATCTTGTGTTGACCATTGGGGGGGGATTATTTTGACTAATAATGTTTCCAAGATGCCTAACTGGAGCTCAAGAAAACCATCCAGGTTTCAGACCTGGACGCGGATGCATCGATCATATTTTCACCTGACAGGTTTTCGACACAAGCGTACGTACCTTCACGGGTGTCGTAGCATTGTTCGCGTTTGGTGGAATCACTGTTGAGCAGTCTCCAAGTCAGGCAAAGGGTACTAGGCAGGCAGGTTGAAGTTGTAGTCCTTCATAGACTTAGATAGCTTGGACATATACTGCGCGTATCGACTAACCGTCTACTTCGACGCGCTATGCTACAGTAAGCTGAACTAGATAAGAAGGTGGAGGGTACCCAAGCGAAGACTAGTCGTTTAAGTCTCTTACTGTTGATTTTGGCCTTGTGGGGACTGGTTGAGGAGTCTTGGTGACATGGCTAAAGATCAGTCGCAATGGCACAAATATATTCACTCCTTGACATCTTGTAAAGCTTGAATATTAGCAGTAACCTTTGTCTTTAGATCGTCTACCATGTTAAACTTTTACCTACTTTGATATCACTCCTTTTCTATCCATCTTATCTTTGTGTACTTCTGTGAATTATGGCGACCTCAGCCAATACGTGTGTGCTAAATTGTAGGTTGGTTTTGTTAATCAACCAGTTCTGTGAGGCTTATGTTCTGAGACACAGGTCTTCGTTTGTCGAGCGTGACTTCTAACAGATTCTTTCTTAGCTTAGATGTGGTAACTGAAAAAATACAATATAGCGAATAGTCTTGACACTGTCGTATCATTAATGTCCACAACTTCCAACGAATCATACATGCAAGCTACTTCAGAGGCACAAGAAGTAGTCTTTATGCACTTCATCTAACTTAGATTGGTTGCATGAACTTGCTTATTTTTGGTTTGTACTATCGTCAGTGTTAAAATGTCAAACGGTTTGACAATTGTATTGCACCGTTTTCAGGGGGATCCATGCGTAAACTTGAGGTAACGTTGACTATATTTGTGACTAAACTATTCGTTTATACGCAACTTCGGGTCGTAAGTTTTAACTATGATACGTCTGCAAAAGTGAAAGAAAGCCAGTTTTCATCATTATTACTGAAGCAGTGTATGGGGGTGGTTACTGACGGCATTAGCATGTACGTGGTTGTGGATTTCCAGGCTTAGCAGACGGCAGAGGAATTAACTTTTTGTATTTGCTTCGGCTAAAGTTCACCTTAACTTTAAACACTGGTGTCGACGATCAAAGTATTGTAACCGTCCATATACATGCAGTAGCTTAGTGGTTCTTTGTTTGTTTTGTCATTGGCAATCTCCAGTAGTTTTGGTAAGTTTTACTACTTTTTCTCGCGAGTTCGTGTATTGAGTCGATTCGTCACTAAGACGGTGCAAAATCTTAGAAGGTGGATATCTGCTTCAGTTACAAAAATGATCTACCCTGTTACAGCAATAGCACTAATAGTTTCAACGTGCCTGGAGCGAAACGGTGACTTTTGGGGATTTGAACAGCTAAAGTGGATCTGAAGAGCTCTAAAAAGTAAGAATAAAAAGGGTGTTACTACTTGTGTAGTATATTGTAAACCACCATCAGGCAAACACTTATACCCAGCTGCCTACCCCGGCGATGAGCAGTGATTTGATCCTGGAAATCACCAGCTAGCCGAAGAACGAGAATGTTGGATCGGCTATCGCAACAAAAAACAGTAGTTCTTAGGGCACATACTTCCAAAAAACTAAGCCCAAAGGAATCCATGGCAATGAACTACCTAGATTACTTCACCTGTTTCTAGTTTCTAGTGCCGTCGTTGAAGACCGAGTTCCTAAACTAAACTAGTTTTAGTATTTGCATTTGCCTTCGGTGGTGCCCAGCTTTTAAGCGCAGAGGTTGTAGATAACGCTGCAATTTAACGAGGGTTATGAGGTTAACCATATATAGTCTTTGTGTCAAAAGCCACACAAAACTCATCAGTTCAACATTCATTTAAACGTCAGCGTTTTGAAATGTTACGTGCTTTTGTTTTGAAGCACTTTATGAAGTCGGAAAGTTTTTCCAGAGGAATTTGTAGTCCTCTAGAATTACCAACTCTATACAGAATGAAGTGGTGCTTTGACCACTTCATTGATTTGAGAGTTGCATCAGTCCTGACGGCCTTGTTGCTGACAAAGTCTCATTTGGTGCTATGGGGACATCTGGCCATCTGCTGAAGGACGAATATACGGCGTTGCCCTTCGCTCTGTTCTAACTATTAACTGAGACAACCATTGGAAGTGGAATATGTGCTAAGACATAACAAATCGTTTCCGAATTCTTTCTCCTCCCATATTATTACTTCGAAGTCTCTCTTCTATCTTCCTATTACTTGTATGATGATGTGAAGTGTGGTAACCTAAACCTTGACACTCTGTGCGAAGTCCTACTTCAGTTTTGTCTTTCGTGTCATCAACTCTGACAAAAGTTTTCTTGTTGAAGCTGCAACTTGGTGATAACCGCCACTTACATGAGTTATCTCAGTTCACAGTATACGGATCATGTGAATAATATTTTATTCATTTCACATCTGTATGTGAAGGTAGTGACACTGTCATTTTTTCATTTTGTCCTTAACAAACATTTCCATCCAATCTTCGACCAAGAACTCGTTAAGGATCAAATGAATACTGTATCTTCACTAGTAAATCGACTCATTTTACTGAAGAACGTGTCAACTAACGCGTCTAGGGCTCGAAACTTGATTCACCGACTTCAACCTGGGCAACTGGGTGTAATCTAATTTCTAATATAGTGAGGTGCAAGGTCTTCCACGTGGTTGCTGACCCACTATCTTCATTTGCCTTCTCCTTTTAGGCAGCAAACACAGTGATCGAGCCCGCTCGCGCTCACGATCTCGAGGTCGGCGTTCACGATCTAGACGCAGGTCAACTTCAAGAAGATATCGAAGTCGTTCCAGAGATGGAAAGCGTTCTCATTCTCGCCACAGTCGGGATAGGAGGCGGTCCAGAACACGCTCTCGTTCTAGGTCTCATGGACACCGTCGCCATACTCGTTCGCGCAGCAAAGGTCGTCGTAGAAGCGACCGTGGAAGATCAAGGTAAGTTTGCAATCTAGAACTGAATTCATAGTTGTATTATCCAAAATATCTTGCTTTATTCCTCCAAAATAGGAGTGTCCGGTCGTTCTTTTATCAATAGCACCGGGAATAAAAATTCAATAAGACATTTATATGTATCGGTAGGACCATAGAATTTCGCCTTCGTCGAGTAGTTACCAAAGAACTTTAGAGTGACCATTCACGCTAGTGGCTCCTGTGAATTTAGGAGGGTTTACACTATTGAAGGAATGTTACTAAAACTAGGCTTTTGAACAACTTTGATCGAATTGAAGATAACTTTACCGTAATTATCGTTTCTCATTGTTTGTCATAAGCATGTATTTCCCATTAATGACCGAACTGCGGACAAAATGTTCCTTGTAGTGTACTATCAGGTTACACCCTAAAACCTAATCAAAACCTTTATGTTGACTGCATAAACCCTATCATTTAATTCTAACTAGGTTCGCAAAATTCATTGGATCATGAAGCAACAAATAAACGGTGAGTAGGTCCTATTTTTAGTCTCAGCACTGAGAAATCCGTTTGATTGAAACTTCAGCAATACAGTGTAGCAGCTATGCTTCATTTAATATATGGTCGGTATTTTTGAATTGAGTTAAAACCCACTCATTAACCTAATGTTTCGTGATGTAGGCAGTGAGCCACATTTATTACATGAGAGTTATTGGCACTACATGACTGCCAAGAACTCGGTAGTTGCAGTGGTACTCAAACACACGACCCGTTGGTGGTTAAAGGTCAGCGCCCTCAGCCAATGAGCCACAATTTCATTTAAATTGGTTGTTCTATGATTTCAGTAATAAGCAAACATACATTCTGTGCATGGATCTTTATAACCGTCAAATTAAGTGACAGTATGGCATAATATTCTAAAGTAACTCTCGGTGACTTTGACCCTTTTGAAAGATAGTGGTAGGTGAGAAAGTCAAAAAAGTCAATGTATTCTAAACTAACTGTCTCTACTTCTGATTGACATTTATTGTTTTCATAAAGGCCTATTATTGCTTAAAAAACTCAATTCAATTACTCTGTTGCATTGCTCGCGCTATCCTAGTGTTGCGTGAATGACAACTTTCCTTGACATATTTCACACATACTTCGTTTGGTATGCAGGAAAACTAGACATCAGATTCCTAAATGTAGGAGTGGCAAGGATTTGATGTAGATTTTTCCTGTCAACCAAGTTGCGAGAACGATTCAGTACGTATACTAGTGCTTACTTACCTTACGAACTGGTGGGATCTCCTTCGCGTTAAGGGGATGTATCCTCGGTGGAACTGAGCACTTTTTTAGTTCTGTTATTTGTACTGTTAGGACAAAGCCTATTATTATTCTCTATGACGAACTCGTTTTTATAAAAGTCATGTACTTGTTTAAAAAACTGTTACGATATGACGGATTTTCATTTTGTTGCATCAGATCTCGTGACCACAGGAAGTACCGTCATTCACGTTCGCGCTCTGGTCGTCGATACTCACGGAGTCGGTCTAAAGGTCATCGGAGCGATCACCGTGATCGGTTAAACAGAAGTATTCGGGAAAGAGACCGGACCCGAGATCATGAGCGAGATCGAGAAAAGATTAGAGAAAGGGATCGGGACAAAGAACGTGAACGCATTCGTGAACCTGACCGCAGAGAGCGAGATCGTGACAAGGGCCGTCACTACGATAAAGAAGCTGATCGCCGACGTGAAAGCAAGGCAAGAAAACACCGTGATGTTTCGCCGAAACAAGGTAATAGCAATGACATTGTTAGGCAGGACAAAAGAGAACGTAACACCGATGCGAATGAACTGAATCGCCGTCTAAGCTTGACTCCTAAGGACGAGGTTTCATCTACCCAAGTGAAACGTAAAAATAGCAGCTGTAGCAATAGTGACGGTGAAAGTGCAAAAGTGTGCTCTGCTGGTGTAATGGAGAACGGCAAGACCCCAAGTGATGATGAGAGTCAGTCTGGCGTTGAACAACAAATCAAACCGACAGTTGTAGGCGTTAAGTTAGCTGGTCCTGAAGATATGGACCATCTCTCCCCTAATGACTCACCTCCAAAAGTACCAATTACACAAGTTTCATCTGATAGTGACTCATCTGGTGAAGCCATGGACACAGAAGCGTAGTTCGCTGCATCCGAATATTGTACCGAATATTTTATTCTCATTGTATCATATTTTACCTTCAGTTTTTTGCTTTTGATGTCACACAAAATTATTGGATTCAGACCTAATGTACCTCTAGTTTTATTTCTTGGCGTTTGTTTCTCATAAATTTACTGAAAATATAGGTAACAGGTTATTCAGCGCTGTGATCTGGTAAATAAGTGACTTAAACCAGTGTAATGCGGTAGGGAATCTAAAATGCTTTTGCTTACCTAGGTACTGAAGGTTGCTGTACAAGTACGTCATGCTCAGTAAGTTCAATTAAACTTCAGTGACGATGGACTGAGGAGAATGTTGAGAGAGAGTATGTTACAAGCGGACCGATAATGTCGGGATCGCCCATTTGTCTGCGAGTGAGTCAAAAGTACTAGCCACCACGTTCCCCAGTAGTATATTACCGAGTCCATTGAGTCTTGAATTCCTGTATAAAGTGCGAGAGAACTCTAGACCACTAACAGTTCACGTTGGCGAGCATTTGCTGTCACTTGCCTTGGAATACGATATTAGGAACTAAACCAACGCTTCCGCAGCTCAGTATTTGATAAATGGTTTCTGAAGCTTCAAACGTGTACACGGAAAAAAGCGGCTACCTACAGTCTTGCTACTTTTCTGGGTATGCTAATTTGATATAAAGTTTAAGTGCAGGATATAAGTGATGAAGTTCTGGTTCCATGTTATCGTGCCCAGCTGGAAACTAAGATGAATTTACGTAAGTGGCGCTATCCAATCCTGGATAGCCATTGTTTCGTCGTCTGGTCCCTATTTTTGATAACTTAATCAAATAGAGGGGGTCCCTAGGTAGACTCACGTTGTTGCACTCCTGCAACAAATTATTTAATGTCGCATTTGATACTTTTGAATATGACGTAATGAGTAGACAATAGCCCACGGTGATGGATTTCCAAACTACGACAGCTGTGTTTGTACTAGTTCCTACCACAGAACTGCCTAAACGGTGGTTTTCTGAGTTACAAACGACTGATGAGAGCGGTCAACGAGCAGTTCTCCGGTACTGTTGCCGTAAAGATGTAAGGAAAAGCAAGACAGCTAAAGCGTTGAAAGTTTTAAAATTTAAGTGGAGTAAAAACCGCATGGTCTTGTCCCACAGTACATTGAACAAAGTGCAATCCATGAACAACTATGGCGTCTCAGCTAGACACACTGTCGGTATCGCAGTCAGGCACATCTACATTTCCAGAGATAATACGTAGTGCATTAAAACCTGTTTTACACGTTTTCAAATGACTTACTCCGCTAAATACCCTCTGAAGTTTAAGCGATGTTTATTCCTGTGCAGAATTTCGCATTGCATTGCGAAAAGCTATGTTCGATTTTATAAAGCTCTCAAAGTGTCAGTGCGGAGTAAGAGAAACCGCAAGTTTTTATGGAGAGTTCCTAACATCCAATCCTTTGAATTTAGCACATTAATATGCGGGGTGGGCGTTTTATTCATCTACATAAGGCTTATTTTCTTATCAACTTTCAGTGGAATTTTCGACACGACGAAGTTACCTGATATCCTTGTCACTGAAGTCATGCGTGGTTTTGGAAACGATAAATAACGGCGATCATCAAAGTTGAGATGTACTATATTGTCTAGATATGATGATGAGCGCGCTCTATATTTCCGAATTTAATGCTGATTACATCTAGAATGACAATGAAAGCTTCACGATTAAACCATCGAGCTCAGAAGACATAACACCAGCAACATGCACTACCTTCATTATTGAAGCCTCATAAGGAAAATAAGCAATCCTTTGTAAAATTCTCAGTAGTCGTTTTTACGGCGTTTTTGATGTGTACTCTATCACAAAGAAAATTTACTGAGTGACGTTAATATCCTTTTTCCATTAGTAACGAATGTCGCATGAGGGTTTAAATTACTCCACTCAAAAATTATTTCCCCAGTACTGAAGTTTATTGTATAATCTTTTGAAACGGCAACAGTACACAGCTACTACCGGATTAGCACACCAAGACTAGGCACCAGTCTGTAAGTTCTGATTGCTGGGTTGTGGACTTCTAGTGAAATGGCTGGAAATCGGTAACGATGGCACAGATAAATAAATATTTTGGTGTCTTCTTAAGCCAGCTAATTTGGTTATCAAAATGCTTTTCGTTCCGTACACATTTGACTACTCTGACTGTTTCATTTAGCCATCTGTTGATTGGATACTATTGTGAAATGTGGCAACTTCTCTGCTAGGTGCCACGTCGATTTGTCTATCCTGGCAGTATCTGTAAGATAGACTGTCGGCAGATGTTACCCGCAATCTTATTGTATAGAAAATGCTTTGGAAGGCGACCACCACAATTCTAAGGTCGATTATTATAGTTTATCTAACCTTATTACCGCATAGGAAAGCTGTATTGCAACAGAAACTAAAATCGATCTACCTGTTGACGCAGAAGTTTTGAATTTTAGTGAGGCTTTTGACACAGTTTCGAAATTAGGTTTTGGTGAAAATAGTTCTGGAATCATCAATTAAGCGAAAGACTGGGTTAAGGATTATGCTCGAGACAATATGCAGATATGAAAGATTAACGAAATTTTGTACTCCTTACAGCCACTAAAGTGGCGCACCTTTAAGTATTATTCTAGACAACTTCCCTTCCTTATAATGTGCAAATTGAAATATCAATACAAATATAGTCGTCTCATCCTATCCTTGCAGTCGCTGTCAAACTTAACATAAATGTACAAAATGATAATGATAGGCAAACTGAACACCTTAATTTTGACTTTCTAAGAAAATACAATTGTAGTGGTGCATACTGATCATAACAAGCTGTGTAGCAACTTGAGAAATGACTTCCACCTGCTAACAATGATTAAGAAGTTAGTGGCCAGCCTCAAGGCGACATCTGCCATAAGTTTTGAGTCTCGTCGTTACTCCGCAAGGCGTTTCGAACAGTGGACTCAGTAAATGAGCGTTTTTCCAACATTAGGTACGTACCTAAGAAGGAAGTAGAGAGTAAGAACTGAGGTGATGAAAGAACTCGTATATGGTAGTACTAGGTTCACAGGATATGTCCTCGTTGTTTTGTGGTAGGAGGTTCCAGCATAACACTATCCCCAAACGTAAGTTTTCGCAGAAGAAACTCCCTCATTAAAATGACAGTTCAATAGGCTGGTGTGCAGACTAACTGCTATTTTAGCAAAAGCTCAATCATTATGGAACGTACAACGGTTACTCAAGAAGACTTTAACATCTACTGACATATCATTTGGTTCGCAGCGCAAAAATCAGAAGACATCACTCAGTAATCTTCCCATACCTAATTTATATCGTAGTTCCTTCTCAACCATAAAATGAGTCGTGTTCAAGGTAGAGGAGCTTGAAATGAAGAGCGGTAGACATCATACGTCAGAAAATACCTGTGTAATGTTTTCTTTCAATAACTCACCTAGGACAAGCGGTGGATAGCTGTAAATCGTGCAACAATGAGGCGACGAAGTGAGCACTAAAATGTGAAAGGTGATTTGTGACTGGGAAAACTGAACACTCAAGTTTATCAAGAAATGGTTTAGGGAAATGATCAAAAGTTCAGAATTAGTTCAGCAACTTGTTGCGGAGTATACAGTTCTGAGATAATGTCTCCGTCGGAACACGATGACTTGCTTATGTCCACTATTGTTTGGTAAACTGACTGGTAATAGGAGTGGATGTGATCCGCAGATCGGCGACGAACTAATCTCTTTAATCTTTGTACATAGAGTTTGTTCACTTCCGGGAGAAGTAATTTGTCAGGATTTGACAGGTACACATTGAAGGCATTCTGAAAATAAAATGAAGTCAGTCAAGATTAGTAGGAATCGTGCTGGTCTTCTCTATTCAGCAAGATACTAAAGGATGAAAATATTATAGTCATGGTGGACAGTCAACATGTATATAGCCTTTCTCCTAAGGACAAGTTGCTTTCCGGCAAAAAAAATAAATCCCGTTAAAAGGAAGCTTAATAATAGGTAAGATTAGTTTCTACACTTTGTCTAGATATTGCGAGAACTGCAATTGTTAGTGCGTGGGGCGAAGTAGATTTGAATCAGTAAGTTTGGAGGTTAAATGAACTCTTTTTCGTGTCATTCTAAATGACGAGAATGACATCAAACGCTTATTTCAAAACAATCGACTGTATTGTTGCTCTAGAGGGTGTACACACTCAGTAAATAAACACTTTTTAACAAGTGTTCCTTTGAAATTCCGTCGAAGCGTAAAATCAAAAAGCCGGTTGCATTTAAACCATGTGGTCTTTCAGTAAGACATCGAAGTAAGAGAATGAAGAGAGCCGACGAAGTTTGTCTCAGTGTCTAACCCAAGAAATAACCAACCACACACCTATGAGTTTAACAAATTAGGTATCTTCAACTCCCATATAAACCTCAATCAGCCACTTTATTTCCCATAGTGATTGTTAAATATCCAGTAAGAACGTACACTGAGCGTCCTTTTGATTTCATTCACGTATTGATGAGACCTCAAACTTCCCATTAACCTTTTATGCTTATAAATAAAGGTTCGGTCATCAGCTAATCAATAATAGTTCTACCGATGAAAGTATCCCACCCTTATACGAATCGCATACACACGGAAAACATATTCTACTGACGCTGAATTAATAGTGCGCTTCATTTGCAGTGAGTGATGAGATTTACTTCAGTTCTTGTCATCATTGTGCAACAGAAATGCAAAATTATTATTCAAATTTGGTTTGCAGTCTTTTGATAATTATGGGGCATGAAAATAACCTGCTGTCATATCAAAACTAGGAATATGTTTAGCCGCTTGTCACATTTATACAAGCAAAATAATGGTTATTATACCTGACAAAACAAGTAGTTAGTACATCAGTTCACTTTACAAGGAGAATGATTTCGAATTATGATCTGAGTACTTGAGATGGCTTGACTGAATTGAACTTTCTATTCCAGTAAAATAAGCTTTTATAATACTGAGAGCAGCATCTGAACTAAGACATTATCCTTTCAATATACATCAAAATCTTACCAAGCGCATTTTACTTGTATGAATATAGATGTACTCACTGTTTGACGTCTTTTTAAGCTTGAATATTTTAGCTAACCTTAGTTTTCAAATTCCCTCTCCTCCATACAGCCTTCGTCTACTTAGACATCACCTTATCCTCTACCCGCTTCTTTGCGTGCTGCTGTAAAGTGTAGCAACTTGAACTACTGTGCGAGGTTCTGTGGTTGTCTGTCTGTTTTTGCTTGAACGCAGGTCGCATTGCTGACAGTAGTAGTTTCGGGTAGGACAGTGCAATATCCCTACAACCACTCTGCCTTCCGACTATCGAGTAAATCCTTTTACCTTCGTCAGTAAATTCAACTTCAAAAAAGACCTCGGTGTCACATACTCAACTAGACTAACTTAGACAAAGGACTCATTATTTGAAAGTCAAGTTCCTAAGCTGATTAGTCACACCTCCAGAAATGAATAAGATTTGATTTGTCTTTCTCTAGAAAGAGAACGAAACAAAATAGCTTACCAGCATCTCACGAAGTTTAGCTTTTGTTTGCTGAACTGCATTCGGATCCTGGGAAACATTTTGGGTTGAGTTTAACTGCGTAAGACCAGTTTGTTCAAGTACGAAAGAAACTTGAGCAGAAACCAATGAATCCAAGCACAAGTCTAGTTTCGATGCAATTTGTTCGATTTGAAAGCCGCTAAACGGAATTTTAGAAAGACTGACTTCAATTACGTAAAAGCAGTTAGCTAAGTATGTTGCTGTTGATGAAGTTTTCGTATGACCAACGGATGGCACAACTTCACCACCGAAAAAATGGTCATCTATAGATTGAATGCGTGACTGGGAAACAATAGGAAGTAAATTGGCTGACTTTTCACAATAATCAATTAGCGGGAATATAAGACTTTCAATTACCTGTAACGAAACAATAATAAGTGTGATTACTAAAGGTAAATAACAAAGCGAAGATTAGCAGCTACCATCGCAAAGTTTAAATAACGATACAAAAGGCATGCAGTTATAGATTAAATGCAAAAGCCAAATGAAAGTGATGTTTGAATATCGGGAAGATCGTTTTCGTATTCCAAGCCGAGTAAGGGACGTGTCAACGATGATGAGTGTATGTAGAGTCAGACATGGGGAAGGTAGCAAACGTTCCTAGAAAAGCCGGTAATCGGTCACCGACTGTTTCTGATGGTAATGGATAAAGGTTTGTTCTGTGTACCTCGTTGAGTTAGGTAGCCACAAAGTATGTCAGTATTCATGTGTGAAATCCGTGCTCGCTAGAAATAAATGAACTTCATTCGTGGTGAGTGGTTACAAGACTGATCTCTTAACTAGGATTTTAAATTAGGCGTCTTTCTGTCTGATTTAGTCCCTATAAACATTATATCAAGTAATCCGTCACAGCAAATACATTCGAACATTTGGCTTTGAATGACGGTGAAAAATTTTCGGCAGCATTTCTTCGTTCCGTAAGAGTTATGCCTGGAGATAAATATCTGAGTCACGTTATATTCGTCCATACTGTGTCATTCAAAAGAACAGAGGATAGAGGAGTACCAACTACGATCCAGTAGAGTACTTGTTTCTTACGTAAGGCTGAACGCTACATATACAACCTATAGAACTCGACAAGTGGCCATCAGGTTTTCAAAATAGCAAATGCACGCATTGCATAGATTCAATATCCTAGTCAGTTGAAGTCAAATGAATAACCACAAGTAAGTTCTGTACGTTTATCTCGGAAACAGCATAAATTCATAGAACAAAAAGCCAGAAGCTTTGGTCAGTGAAGCCTATTGTTCAAACTCACATCCTGTATGTACACTAAAGCCTCAATATGCAAGTTGCGCGCGGTTTTAGATCAGGTATGCTGTTTGGTCAGTTCGAAAAGCAAGTATAGGTTCCACAGCTACAGATATTCGCAGTCAATCTAAACTCAACAGCACTGATGACTGAAGAAAACGGAGAATACAATGAAGAAGCATGGTGATACCACCGTGGGAAGCTATTTCTTCTTCAGATGTCAAACGAAAAATTCTGTCAGTAAGAATAGTCTTTCCGACTTCGGTGAGGGAATACACAGCCTGAGGATTCGCTACCGAAGACCGATTAAACCCACCAATTTAATTTTGATTCACTTTTATTCGGCGGGTATTGTCAACTATGGGTGCCGTTGGGGCGAGACATGCTATTTTTTAGGCTGAAATTTCCCAACCCTTCAGAAGGTAGTATCAACTGGATATATAGATTTTCCACCAGAAACATCTCTTATCATGCACAATCTAATTCTCAGCTGTCAGATTTTGAATTGTTTACCAGTATTTTGATAGTTTGTTTTAAATACATAAAAGTCGTTTACTACAATTACACAGAACAATACAAATCATAACCGTAGAAATATTTCTGTTAATTTACGAGCTAGATAAAAACAACATACCACTTTGCGTTCCGCCTGCACTACATCATTTGGAAGTAATGAAATATCTTGACCACCAAGCATTTGAACAAGTAACTGTAAGCTATCAGTAACTAGTTCGTTAGGTGACAGATCCTGGTTAGGGAGATCAGGCTGTTTCAAATTGTAAAGAATACATGGAAAATAGTCGCTATAAATGGTGTACCTCCTTCAAACGATAACAATAAAAGCAAGATGGAAAGTGTAAGAGCAAAAGTTGACAACTTTAGTAAAGTGCAATTGCAATGCAGTTGATTTATTAGAACTATGACGCAGCAGAACAGTGTTTCTTGCTGCATTACGTTTTGGACAATTTATTGTCCATAGTCACATCAAGATAACTAAATAACATTGAGGCATCTCATATGTAGTCATATTTTGCTTGCCACCTTTGCGGTACAGAGAGTAGGATGTTCCATACATACGGATCAGATGCTGAGTCATTCCTGTTACATGTATTAGGCATTGATTCGATAAAAAAAAGATTCAGTTATTAATCTCTCCCTCCATCCTGCTGTCAGTTTTGAGGTTTTTCACCCTATCCCTTCCTATTGTGTGATTGAGTACAATCGCATGCGTCTCTATGGATGAGCTCGTTTCCAAGTTCTTTGTCTTACTAGGATCTACAAACTTTAACCTAGCTAGGGATTTTGTGTTCGGATAGCGTCGTTGACCCCAGTCGACTACTTTCACATGAGCATTTGACCTCGCAATCGTTGCAAGGGATTTCGTAAACGAAACTATTCCGTCTAATTCAATGAATAGGATCGTTTAACCTACAAAGCTTATTTATGTGAGTTTGTAGGTTTAAGTGACACTTCAATCGCAAAAATTTTACTCTCTGTATTGCAAAGGTGACAAGCAAAATATGACTACATATGAGATGCCTCAATGTTATTTAGTGACAATAAATTGTCCAAAACGTAATGCAGCAAGAAACACTGTTCTGCTGCATCATAGTTCTAATAAATCATCCTGAGATGGAAAGTAAGTATTGTTAAATGACGATTTTATTCCTATAAAACTTTCTACTCAATTACATCGCTGGCATCAAGAGTTTGTACTCAATTTCCAACGTGTGACTTCCTGAAGCAGTTCTGAGTATTTGAAGCGTCCGATCAAATAATGACGCTTGAAGTTACTCTCTAAGGATATGTTCGTGGTTCTTATGTAAGATATGTGTAGTTTTCGTGGCCCATTGAAAACTCAAAGAAGATAAGGAACGGGGAATTTCACGTTAAACACAGAATCGACGATAGGGAAGAATAATTCAGTATTCGAAATATATTTTTATCATTATTATTACTTCCTGCTGAAATCTAGGAGACCTTAACAATATATTGCCTGTTACGTTCACCAATCATTCCTACTCAATGAGATGTTCTTAGCTATATTCACTCACATAAGAGTCAGTTTCATTTGACTGAATATTATGTTTGAGATCTACAGTTTAAAACTCTAAAGAGAACGTCGGCTACCCGAAGTTCTACCACTTTCTTCTGCCATACTCAATGTCTCCTATTATTCACTGGCTTCGACTATGATTTTACCACTTTATTCGTTTCTTATCAAAATATATGTATACTTTGTTTTCTCAAGGTGACGTGAAATACCTTCTATCGGAGAGCATATCTTCTATGTTGACGTAAACTTGAAGTTGACATCGGACTAGTTACTAACTGAAAACTGTAGAGGAATATTGACATCGGTGTATACGTACAAGTTGACAGTTTCGAGTGAATTAGAGAAATACATTTATCATGATAATTGTTAGTTATCAGATCACTTCATTCCAGTGCACATTCTAAAGACCTAACACTGTAAGACAACCGTCTCTGTAAGTTTCTAATTAGAAGTAGTTTACATTAGGAAGAGTAACCAGCAAGTATAGAATAGGTAAGGAATAACAGAACATACTAAACAGTATTAACAAAAGCGAGACACCACGAATTTGTGTGTGTGTGTGTGTGGGGGGGGGGGGGGTTATGAAATATTCACATTCATGGCATATGGACAGCAGTCTCAACAGGCTGCCACTACATAACAAGCTGAAACACCGTTGTCAACCATGCCGAAGTTGAAGCATCGGAAACAAAAGAATTACAACCGAGCAAATACACATCAGCTTATTCAATAGAGCTACGAACTGCACCTATGGGACGACAATAATAATCCTACTCAATAACCTAAGGATAAAAATGAATCTCGCTATGCTTTCATCCCTGTTATGTGAGTTGTGTTGCTACTGAGTTATGAAGTGCATGGTCAATGAAAAGTCTTAGAGCATAGAAATTTTATTAGCATTGAAAACGCCCACCTGTTCCAAGGTCTGTTTCACAAACTGTTCTAGAGTGTTGAGTAGTAAACGTTTACACAATCCTTGAACATCATCAACACATAAGATCAGAGAAGCAGTAGATTCAAGCAATGATCTGAATAAAACAATACGAAAGAAATTTCACTTGGAGTAAAAGTTGTTGATTTGACTTTTAACGAATGTATTCTTCACAAGCATTATTAATTAAAGGTCAGATGGCGACATAGGAGGTAAACAGTTACATAGAGTTAGTTGTGTGGATGAGTCATGCATTATGCAAAGAGTAATAAAACTATGCAGTGGTCTACACCAAAAAGTGCACAGTAGGTCTTATCAGCAAAAATTGATCACTGGAACCACTAAAACAGCTTTACCATCCGAATAACAGTACTTACCGGGAAAGCATTTACTAAGGAACATTTTAAGATAGTTTAAGTATTTTGACATGACAAAATTGCAACATGAGCAGAAATTTCACAAATTGTTTATGAAAAAACGTATGTTTATTATGTATCGTTGTGATTAAATATTTTAAACAAACATATGTGAAAGCCATTCTTCAAATTGGTCAGTCCTGATTTGAATACAAGTTAGGCACATGAGAAGGTCTGATTTTCTAATATTATGGGTAGGCGATAGCAAATTCTTATAATTCCAAATTACATTTGTTTAGTTGATTTATCACACAAAGTGATATAGTAATATTTACTTGATGACGTTTCGAGCATAGGTTACTGCTCACAATCATATCAAGGTGTTATAAATCATATATGTGAATTTGAATGAAAGTTGTATACATTTCCACAACTAGGACAATAACTACATAGTTGGTACTAAGACAGCAAAATGATCAATTTTTATTAATTCTACCAGAACATTTATACCCTGATAAAATATTAGTTGTTTCCTACAGATAACGCATTTCATTTACATGGAATACACTTTATTGAATATGATCTTTATAAATGTTTGTTTAACTGAAGTACTCCATCTAGACTAGATAAAACATTCACCTTAACTACATCTACTACTCAACAACCATGAAAAGTAATTCAAACGCTATCCATTCACGTACAATTTAATGCCAATGGACTTTTGAGAAGTGATAAAAAGTAATACACTAAAAATAACGATACAACATAAGACTAAGTATTAGGAAACGAAATAATTTAAAAATCCACTTAGAATGTGTATTTACTACTTTCGATTGACGAGTATCATAATCCCCATTTTATTTGTTGACAAACGAATAGAGAAACCATCTGTTTAATAACTTTAACTCATCACCTGAGAGAACCTATGAACCAATGATACTTATAAGTAACTAGGCATGACACAAACAGAGAAACTTATGAACTTCCTTTGTATTTCTTTCTCAGTATTTCGCTAGGATAGTAAGTGTCAAGACAGAATCGAAAATAGCCCGTGGTTATTAGTGACGTTGTCATCTAACACTACATAGATAGATATATCCAAGTTTGTTTCTTATAACATGCTTCTCGGACAGAGTATATTGGTCTTGTGAATATCATCTGTGTTGGACCTATTTGAAAAGGTGTGCAAAAACTTTTTTGTGTAATCTGCTTTGGACAAGACATGTATAATACTGTTACCAGCACTATGTAGCAAAGCTCGTTTATATAGGTAAATATCATTTGTCAACAGTAAATCAGGTGTGATGTCCAGACGAGTTATAAAGCTGACAAGATTCTCGTGAACCAGTTATGACGGGATGCTGCAATCACAAACTACTGTCAAGAAATTTTTTAGAACAGGAGCGACAAATTCATTAGTAAAAATAAACGAATTGGAGAAACTGCAGTCACTTATGTAATAAACGTTTACGTTGTAAATTTACTTGCATTTAATTGTTTAGGACAACATTTAATGGTAATAAAATAAACAGTATCACTGTAGAAACTGAGGTATACACCATGGACAGTATACCATTTAGTATTGGTAGATTTAATAACGCCTTCACTACGCTTCTTCTTGGAAATAAATCGATTCCGTCGAAGTGATTTGAAACTATTTAAGGAGAGTAGATTATCATCCTAGAGAGACTACGAAGCCGAATTTCTTGAAGCGTAAATACACCCAAATTACGATAAGTATTGAAGGATAAAAGCGACTGAAGGAAGTCAACGTTTTTCAGGTAAAGACATGCAGTTCGCGCTGACTATTTCAGTAACCACTATTCAACCCATTGTTGTATTCTTTAAAGTCAATCGCCATTTACTGAAGTACTTTTCCTTAATTTTAGCTTAGTACGTTGAAAAGCTCGTAGGTGTGTCAGAGTAGATAGTACAGGCACAGGGCATATTTGAGTGGATTAACAACATCAAAAAGACCAATTCAATACAATATTTCCAATGAGAAAGCTTCAAGTAGATCCACTACAAGAGGTAATATGAAAAAGTTAAAGGTAAGAGAGACTGTGATAGAGAAATATAAGTCAATAACACACTCTGAAACAGAATATTGAAACTATGAGAAAACTTCAACGTGCCGCTCACCTAAACTCCAGTTTCATTTTAGAAGAATGGAAAGTTGAGATAATTTCTGAATTCTGCTGATGCTCAAAATGTTGTACGTACTGTGAAAGGAGGAAGGGTAACTAAATGTCATGAGGTTAGCATCAAAATCACTTAAGGATGATGGTCAAGGATTCTCGGTCAAAGTGAGTGAAATATTGCTTGAGGTCTGAGAGACAGACATGGTATTTGATTGCTTTCATTCATTGATTGTTCTAATCAAATAATCAATATCAAAGCGAGTTTGATAGTACTAAGAAACGAACAGAGCTGCGAATGCTGAAATGAGCACATTAAGGTACCAAGATGAAAGAAATAAAGTAGAAACTAATGAGAAGCAGTAGAAGTTCGTAAAAAGAGAGCGAAAAGGAATGGATCACTAATGAAATGCGGCATGATAATTAGGATGAGGATAATATATGCATATATCCGCTCCACTAAGATTGGTGTTGAGCCGTAGCACTCATAGTTCCCAACCACTTATTTAAGTTGTCACGCAGACCAAACCAGAGTTAACATTTCTTTACATGACCCAAACCAACAGTTACAGACTTCATATTTTGATACCACGTTTTCGTCTGGCCAACTAAAACTTCTTTTCACCCTAAGCGTACGTCGATTAATATCACGCGTCGGCGTAGACGGCAACTAGGTATGTATGACACGTCTCAACTGTCGATGAAGGTTCATAACCTCATCAACTGATTTACCTCCTGTCTAAAATTTTAAACCTAACTTCTACAGTACTAACGTTGAGATTCTACAACATATAGCTTGTGCCATGAAGCCAATGGTGGTCAAACACAAAAATCCTTTTCCTTTCATTCCTCTTTAGTGACCGTTTTTCCACAACCATACAGCAGAACCGAGCAAACTGCAGCACAGCACACTCGATCATTAGCAGGCGATCGGATATCTCATACCATAGATGGTGCAAGTTGGGAAGGGAACCGCTTGCATCCATGCAGAGATTTCGTCGATTACCGAAGTATTAGGGTTGATCCGACTTCCGCAGAAAGTGAACTGGTCAACGCACTCAATTACTTCACGGCTTATCGTAGAACCAGGTACGAAGACAGAGCAGTGTTGAAGCAATATTTTGCATTTAAATGGCGACAAACATAACCTAAACATTTTAGAACTCCCACTTAAGGCGTCGAAAAGGCCTTATATCTTTTCAGCACCTTCAATAAAAAGAATTGTTATGTGTACTCCAATAACGAGACTAGTACGACAAGGTCGATCTCGGCAAAGTTAAACGAGGAGAGGAAGATCTCTATCAGCATGTCTTTGTCAAAGCTAAACAAAGGTAGGGAGAGTTGGTAGCCCTGATAGATTCCACCACTCACATGATATCTCACTATAGGCCCTAACATGCCATGTACAGGTAGAAAGAAAAGATGAACAGAAGGCCAGGTATTACTTCGTAATGATCCAAGTTACCACATCTCATACCAGCAAATTAAGCGAGAAAGCACTAGGGTGAAAAATAAAGAAATAGAAAAAAAAAGTAGTTGAAAGTCATATTACGTCGTGATAAGAAGTAAGAGGAATAAGAAAACACTGTAACTAAGTAAGATGATTAAGACGAGGATAATGTGTGGATACATCTCTGCTACTGAAATCGATTCTGATCCATATCACCTAGTCTCCACCCACTGGTTTTTTATATTATCACGCGAACTCCATCCAGGAAGTTTACATTTCCTTACATGGCTCAGACCAACAGTCAAAGACTTCATGCGATGATGCCATTTTTTAGTATGTCCACCCATAACCTTCCCTCTTACCCAAATCTACTTCAGCTAACATCGTACGAGGCAGATGATGACTAGGTGGGCTTAACATATGTCCCAGTCACTTGAACCAATCAAGGTTCACAACGTTGTCAACTGACTTACCTCTCCTTCCTAAAACTCTGCATCCGACTTTTACATTACTGACGCAGTGACACCATGAAATAGCTTATGCTACGAAAGTTACAGTGGTTAAACACCTGAAACCTTATTATATGCCCTATCTTCAACGCCCATGTTTCACATCCATATAGTAGAGGAGATAAAACTGCAGCGCAGTACACTCGACCCTTAATAGGCAATCGGACGTTCCGGCAGCGCCAAAATGATGTAACCTGACAAAAGCCAAGAGAGCGTTTTGTGTCTGTACAGAGATTTCGTCACCACTAACCTACTAGAGCTGATCCAACTTCTCAAGTAAGTGAAATGGTCAACACGCTCAATCATTTCCCTCTGTATTGTTAGACCTGGCATCCACTGAAGACCAGTCGCGGAGCGACAGTTCGTGATTAAGTGGCGAGTAATGCATCCCAAACATCAGATTGCCAGCATAGGTGTCGAGAAGCTTATGCACCTCGTTAGCGACTCCATCTAACAGGACTGTGTCATCTGAGTACTCTACTAATGATTATTCTGTAATACGATCAATCCCTGCAAAGTCGAATGGTGAAAAGGAGGTCTCCAAACGCGCATCTATGATACAGTTGAATAGGAATGGAGAGTGTACATGCTCGACGTACACAACTCATCATAGGTTCTAACACGCCTACAGCTATTTGAGCACAGAGCCATAAGATCTTCTGGTCGACGGAGTCGAATCCCGGCTTCTGGTCAAGAAATACAAACAGTGTCGGGGGTCGGCAAGCGTGCCTGTGTTCCAGAACCTGGCGGATCGTGATCGATACACCCACGATCAGTTTTGGGACTTACCTGGTTTTCTCAGGCTTGCTGTTCCCCAGCTTTACTCAGGCGTCCAATGATTATAGAACTTAGAATCTTGGACACCGGGTTCGTCAAGCTGATTTCTATGTGGCCGTCACAGAAGAACCTCTCACTTTTCTTGAAGACTGAGGTAATCAGTGAATGAAACCTGTCAGAAGGGATCATATCTGACTCCCACGCAGTAAATAATACTTCAGTTAACTTGATCAATAATCCTCTTACACCTTCCCTAAGTACCTCTGGTACTAGTCCATCTAGCACTTCTGTCCTTCCTCGCTTCAGATTACATACAGCTTTCTCGACTTTTGCAGGTGTTGGGAGTCCTATCTCGATGTTCTAATCAGGCTCTAACTGGATAGTAGACGACGAAATAGTAGATGGAGGCTGGTTGAATTGTTCCATGAAGTGTTGTGGACATCGTTCACGTCATCTCCCGTGCCAGTGAATCATAGACCCATCCTTCCCTGCTATAGTCTCAATAACCACTGACCTTTTCCTCTTAGTTTCCTGAATCAGCCTAAATAATTGTCTAGTGTTACCTATCACCGCTACCTTTTCCACCTCTTTAGTCTTCGCTGCTCACTACTGTTCGCGGTCACTGTGTAGGAATTTCGTCAGTCTGTATTTGCTTCCGCTCCTTATTGTGCTTGGAGCCTGGTTCGAGGCTTCTTCTGGGTGAGTGATGCGGTTTTGTCCCGATAACTGTCTAACAGGTTTCTTACTGACGGCAGTCTTAGTACTCTCATTGTCGAGCTTCACTTGCAATGGTCCTGGTGCTATAGTTTCTTACATTCATTAAGGCACAGACACATACATGCTCCAGAAGGAGCGCCAATCTTTCAACAACCCTCTGCAGTGGTAACTGATAGCAATATGGCTTATCTGTGTCAACCGTTGAGTTGAGGTCAGTGGATACTACGTTAGACAATGTCTCTTTATGTCTGAAGTTCGCAATGGCCAGAAATAAATGGTTTGTGCCCATATGTGTTCAAATTCAGAGTTTTCAACAGAATGATGTACTTACTTGACACACTTTTCAGTGACTTTTCCAGTTTTCAAGTAAGGACAACAATCTTTTCATAATAACAATAAAAGAATTGACTTGATTAACCTGGAAGCAGAGAATATTTTTATCTCATGAAATAAATGTTTAGCTGGAGGTGCACTCTCTGAGCTTACGTTTCAGTATGTTAGTCAATAAGGTTTCGAAACTGCTTGAAAACGATCACAGACAGAAGTATATGCAATGTAAATTCACAGAGCACAATTTTACTTACTTGAATGTATGTTGATAAAAACTCATAATATTATTAATTCGATATAAAACCACAGCATCATGGTGAGATATCAATAAATTTTCCATGCTCACCTATAAAAAGATAAAATATTATGAATATGAATTTTAAAATACCTAGTGCATGAGTTAGATTTATGTTACAACGTGAAAAACTGACAGCAATATAAATTGGCAAGATTGTAACAAACATACGATACTTTCATAGTACTGATTCAGAATCACACGCAGACAGCACGGTAACTAAGATAGTTTCATCCCTTTATCACATAAGGCCATCCTAACAACTACTGAAATAGCCAATTAGGTTGTTCTATTTTATGAGAAAAAAACTAGTCGAAATCGAGCAATCTAATTGGTTATTACAGCAGCTACCACGGTGGCCTTTAGAACCACCCTGAAAATGGCATTGGTAATGGAACGACGTTACGTTGACAAAATTTGTGTAACCGAAGTTCTATCCTCGAGTATGTTTGATTGTCATTATGGTTACCAAAGGTGAAAAAAAGCTGTTAAAGACATTTTGATGAGGAAAAGTATATTCAAAGCTTCATTCTTGCCTTCCAAAAGCAAAAAAGAAGAAATTTATTGTGGTTAACAACGAGCATGGTAAGACACTTCACATGCTGCCACCAATGATTCACCTCAGAAAGATTCTAGTCCACGCTATAACTTGGTAGAAAGAGATGAAGAAGAAATAATACAATCTATTTTTATGACCAAGAAAATACACATAAAATTTTAGTTACGTGAGGATCCGGGTTAAACAGACTAATTGGCTGCATGACGACAGATGATGAGATGCGACCTTGATATAAGGGATAAATTCAAGTTTCTGCAATTCAAAACACGATCTACATGCAAATTTAAACTTCAGTGCACTAACTGTAGTGAAGAAATCTCTTACATATTACTGAAAACTATATTCAACTAAACTTCATGATGAGGGAAATCAAAAGTCGCTTAAAAATTGTCAAACAATTTGTGATTAGCGGAATGATACTTTCCCCTCCATGTTAATTAATATAAATAAGCGACTTTACATATAGAAACTAACTCAAATAAAGCAACCTTTAGGCCACGAACATTAGTAGATATTCGTACAAACAAAAGAGGTTTTTTGAAATGAGAACAAATCTCATATAGATACTGTCAGCTGATATGAATGGCGCTACAAACAAATCAACAACATATATAATCTACTAAAATTTGTACTGGGATGAACAGAGGGAAGCATGAAGTAGTTAGACAATCAATCTTCTGTCTTAACTCATCCTAATGCGACTAGGTGAAATTGAGATCTGTTCCGTTAACAATTTATGTAAGGAAAGTAATCTAATACTATGCTACACCCACGCCTCACAAACAAAGAATAAAGATTCGAAAATGTCAAGGGTGGTTACAGCACTTACGTGTCCTATTTAACAAAACAATTCCAGAGGTTGGCAGCTCGAAATTACAGATGAATAAACAGGTATGCTAAATTCTTAGACGGATCTTATGGTGCCATAAATTACATGAAATGTTAGCAACGGAAACAAACACTCAACCGCACGAAATACGAACTGTTGAGAAACGTTTCTCAATTCATCTTGCTACACAACAGTATCCTACGCATCATCGAGCTGGTCTCAATGGCCTTCGCCTTTCTCCAATCACACTACAACGTCACCTCCATCGACCAGACAAACACACACACACACACTACAACACAAACAAAACTAAATATATCACACGTATGCAAATACACTGTGAATTTCATGTAGGAACGTTATTGCCGAACAGTTTCAACTGGTCGGAAGCACACATTCCAAAAATCTCCACAAGTCTACCTGACTTCGGTGATTCACACACCACAACTCTTTCGGACTACACAACCAACCCGTCGACTCAAAAACACAATTCCTACACTCACTCACTCACTCAGTCCGCCATACAACATCCAACAGAAAGCACATTGTACACATACTATGGTCATGTGAACACCATCGGGAAAGCAATCGATTCACAAGAAACCCGTCAACGTATCCATTGTCACACACAAGTATCAGTCAGTCACTCAGCTACTACACACAAAATTACAACCTGTGCCTCAGTCTCTTCCCAAACTCGATTGAACCGCGTATCACCGGACAATTCCAGTAGACAAAATCATTCAACGCCACCACATCCCATAAACTCCATTCTCGAAACCTGCACAAAATTCACTTCGCTTTATTTACAAAATCATGACAAATTGATGTCTATACATTTATCTACCTACTTGATCTATAGTCAGAAATATTATGCTAGGATGGAGACATAAAACAACGGAGAACGTTGGATAAAACTATGCTACTTTAATGAACCATATTTCACAACAGCACAGAAAGAGGACATAAAAAGAAATGGAAAATTTTTCAAATACACAGAAATCGGTTATTAGAAGAAAGAATAAATGAATGGTTACCGGGATTCCCAAATTATTGAAGAAGATAGGAATAATACACCTGTACTACTATATTCCATTCTGATATACGTGCCCAAGAGTGCACAGTCATCTATTTCATCTAGAGAACTGAATTCAAGTTGGCTGTGGCTCTTGAAATCGGGTTGATATTCAGAGACTTCATGGATTGATACTGCGTTGACCTGGCTATCCTTATATGTCTCCTAACATGATTCTGTTTCGATTAACAAGCAATTATGATGATAGGTTGATGCGCTTGACATATCTCATTACCTGAATCAACGACGGTCCACAATCACATTAAATGACTTTCCATCCTTGTCAAGTAAGCACTGTACATCTAAAATTAACAGGGTTAGCTCCGTAGTATGGAAGCATGCGAACAATGCTAGAAAGATACCTACGATCAGACATCGGTAGCCTCGTCATGACTTTCATTTTGACGGTCCCGTTTCTCAACCATACAACAGACTGTTGTGAAGTATACCCATCCTTTGATAGGTAGTTGGACGTCTAACCAGCATCAAGGATGACTTCAATTATTAGATATCAAATAAACCTTTCGCAAGCGGTCTCAAATTTTGTCAGCAACTAGCCTATTTCAGACGATGTAAATTCTCGGATACATCAATCAATCAAAGCAACCCAACAACTTACTCTTTATTTTCGAATTGGAAATCAATACAGACCTGTTCTACAGCATCATGTTAAATTTAGCAGGTACAAAAAGCATGCCAAACATACTCTGATTTCTGTTCAAGTAGTCCAGAAGATTGTTTATTTTTTCATAGAATTCGGCTGATAAGACTATTTCTTTTGTGTACTCTAAACCAATCGCACTGCATGGTTAGAAATTGATCACAGTTGTGCAGTTCCATTGATACTTCATTTTAATAATGATAAGGTATGTCGTTATCCTACGACTTATCTTTTTCTTTAGCTTGTAATATCTTACAACTACTGATCTCCATTTTTCTTGTTACCTTTCTTGATGTGTTGATGTAAAGCACGACTACTAAGACTATAGTGTGGTTACGTCAATCATACCTGTTCCTAATGCCTGTAAGTCTATGTATTGGATAATAAATGTTTTTCTATACATTTAACTTGTGATTCCATGTTACATCTTACCGTGAATAGTAATTTTCCTAAGCAACTGTATGCAGCTTTTAGAACGTTACAGTTTTCTGTTTAAACTATCTAACAACTTTCTTAGATTTGATTTTGAGACTACTGAAGAACTGTTAAAATTTCTGAATCCTAGGGATAATAAATGAACTCAAATAATGAAATAAGTAACTGCGTCCGTTTTTAACAACACAGTAGAATCGTATCGCCTGCATGAAACATTTTTTACGCGTAAAAGAATGATTACATTGAATACATCTGGATATCCGACGTTAATGTTGGAGATAAGGAAAATATGTATTGAAACTAGATTTCAGCACCTGTCTTTCTGTAATCACGGTCGATAAATAATCTGGAGTGCAAAGCAATTCAAGGATCCAGTAAATATATGTACACTAGACTATGTGTGAGCAAGAGTAAATACAACTACCCTGCTGCCAAAGTTGGAGTGGATTTCGAACTCTTACTGATTTAACTTCGTATTTGTGTGGAAATTATCTAGATCAAGAAGGTAAGCGGATGGCGAGAAGAGAGAGGATAAACAGGAAAATAATAACGATATCGAAATCACTGAAGACAGACAGTCACGAATATCAATTTCAAGGAAAAAGTGAATTATTTTTTAGATATATTACTACAGAAATGATGGTTTCTTTTTGAATACAAAAACTGTGTAGAATTCATCCGGTTGCACTGGTTACAACAAACCGAAGGGGAAGTGATATCTCTTATCTATTTAAAACCCTAAGGGTTTCGCTCATATTTGATATTCGATAGGAGTATAGATCCCCAGAACGATGTCCTGTTACATACTTGCAAATCCTCACAGACAATCACTTCTTCGAATTTCGAACGTACTAAGATCCTCGTGCATGTTAAAGACGAATAATAACAAGTCTAGGTGCATAGTTTGACTTCATAGTTTTACCGGTTTCTGAATACTTAACAAGTTAACAAGTAATGGTGGCTTCCGACAAACGAGAAAGAGTATATAATGAAAATCATCAATTTGAATAGTTTTAAAAATACGGCTAGTAGTAGAGTTGTAGGCTTACTTTGAACTGAGAACATAAACTTTCAGTGATTGTATCCAAACAAATTTTTTTCATGTCTATAATTACTAGAAAACAATAGAAATGAACAAAAATGTACTAGGCCAATATAAATAATTGTGAATTTTGGGAAACTCTCATTTGGATAACCAGAAAAAGACATGCACGTAAACAATACTTTTTCGATTACATATCATCAGACTTCATAATATGTGAATAACTTAACATTTATATAAAACAATGAAAGGAGCATAGGGATTTTTGAATCCCTGATAACTAGGTTCTGGAACATGTACTCCCAAAATTGTAGTAAAAGCAATAATAAGGTTATCAGTTTCACTAGCGATGAGTATAGTGAAAAAACACGGTAATACAAACATCATGAAAACTAAATTAGGTCAAAACTTAGAAAAATAAAAGTTCCTTAATAATAAAGGATGAAATAAGTGGATAAACCAAACACTAAACAAATATGAAAACGGTGAAGAAAAAGAAAATGGTTTTGTACAATTTTTGGTCGATAAATTCACTTGTCAACTTCTTTCTTACTAAGATAGAAATAAAGGTTACACACAAACGCTTTTTAAATACAAATTGTAAAACTATTCAACTTAATTTTTATAGCTTCAGCTTTGCATACAAAGCGAACAAGTACGTCATATCAAAGTTGCAATGGTATGCAATAAACTATTTTGAACGCTTTGGGCTTGTTTATCATGTCACCGCTAGAGAGAAGAGAAAATTCATCAAAAGGAGTTGGAAGAACCTGATTGCAAACTTATGATTAGATAGACAACTGCCAAATGAATCCTTTGTATATATGCGGTACATCACTCTAGCAGCTAGCCAATCACAAAACCAAGACATTCAACACATTCAACTGCATTATTCTCTATTTATAAACATGATATTAGGGTAGACCAATCATTAAGCATTATATTGCATTCGACAAAAGCGATAAGCATCTCGAAGACTATCAGACCCTTTTTGAGGGGTTCAGGAGACGAACTAATTTTTAAGCATTTTCATTGCAGTCCCAAAGAAATTGGGAGTAATTACAGTTATCTCTGTTAGGATTTTTGGGACAAAATCAAACAGAAAAATTGATAGTGAATATCTCTAGTGGACCACAGCCGTTGGTCTAAACCCAAGGGTTAACTCTTCAATAGCCCTAAAAGACTATGAGTTTGACCATAATTTTGAGAAAACTGATATTACTACATGAGATTACTTGCAGGTAGTTTATTTGCCTATTTGAAACAAAAACATAGTGTAGAGGGTGCTACTGATAAGAATGGATATAAGTAGTATATGTTGAGAGGGCGGCAGAAATCATAGGGAATTACCAGCCATGGGTAAATATTCTGCCCACAGATACACAAGAGACGACCTGAGCATATTAAGAGCAAGTAAAAGTAGAAACAGAAGAGGAAATGAAGCACATTGTGCAAATGACTATTTTAATGGAAAGTGTACAACATTTCATCATTACTGCACAAGATGTCATAATAAACATTGTCCTGCGTCTCAGTCTTGTCGTTTCTTACGATATATACCAAAAATCAGACAATTAAAATCCATTTGAGTTAAGGTGTTATACGAAACAATGAACGAATGATACAGCGTCGTCAGATGTATTCTAGATACCATATGGTGGTGCAATTTCTGTTTGATATTCGAACAGCATTAGTAGGATGACTCAAGATGATTACTGGGACTCATTTATAGCTTTGCATGGTATTATACAAAATCAAACCACAGGATGAGTTAGATATTTCTAAAAGAAATAACCTTTGGAGTTGCTGAAAAAAGCACTCGTCTATCAGTGTTACCGGATCCATATCAAGAATTTCATACTGTTGTAGTGCGTAGCAGCATTAGCAAAGAAAAAACAAACTTATGTTCAAGACAATCTTCAAATATCGAAGAAAAACAATTAACAGTTTAACTATTGCAAGTCGAGTTGTCACAGATAACTGGGTCTCACAACAGTTTGATGCTTCTAAGTGTTTTCTGATTTATTTTAGTCATTTGATGAACAGAGACTTGAAGTGAGATCTACCTCAACTAAGCTTATCAATACTAATATCACTATCTTTCTACACAAATGTGCAACTATAATATTTTTTAACAAATCCAAAGTTCTGTTTTACCATGATTGAAATACTACTTATAACGTGTGTCAAAATGATATGAAAAGATAATATTTGCTAAAAACCATATAATAACTCAGCTACAGTTTACTACTAACGTTTGACACTACGTACCGTTTAGTTAAGTGAGAAAACCCGATAGTTCTCTATTTCGCTATCTAGTAAGAACTAGTGAGGTTACAGTATTTATTTTACATATTTACCGATCGCCTTGAAGTATACATAAGTAGGACGTCAGACTGGATAAGCTGTATGATGCTACAAATTTTTAACACTCTAAAGCCTGTTTGTTGTACAATTGCACTGGTTGTAAGGAGGAAGTATTGAATGAGTATATATATATATATATATATATATATATATATATATATATATATATAATATATATATATATATATATATATATATATATATATAAAATAAAGTATTCGTACATGTATCATGGCAGTCCTTGCATAAATTATTGATGTACTCTTTCTCTGAAGCTGTAAGTTGATGAATACAAGCAAGCACATCACTCACGAATCGCACAGGATCATGTGACCTCATTTCTATAGGTTTTGTATGGAGCATGTTGACAGAATGATCAGTTGTATTGGGATTCGGGTCAAGTCTCACTGAAAGTGCATCCATGAATAATCTGATAGAAGCTTTGCGACGAGCACCACAGTATTCATCAAGAGAGTACCTATAATTATGGACAAATACATAATGAAACAGCTGTTAAGACGATATACAAAACACCGAGTAAATTGTCACCTTGCAAAAAAAACCACTGTGTACTACTGGAAGCAAGCGAGTGGTTGACACTTCCCAGTTGCCCACACCATGGAAGATTATTTCTTATCGAAGTTCTTGAAGAAAAAGGGATGGTGTGCAACTGTTGACGCCATGGGACATCTGCTTTAGGCCGGTCGAACACGGTTTTTTGGTAAGTTTAAGATTTCAGGTTTTTACTTTTGAATCCGACTATGAATGCTTGTTGCAGGCATCTATACGTCGTGAAGGGGTGGGAGTGTGGTATTTTTTGGGGCCAGCGTTTCCTAACCACCCTACTTCCCATAAGGAAGGCAGCATCAGTATAGCACTCCTGGTCATCCAAGGGAAATACCTCACTGCTGTCACACCCCATCCAGCTAGCAGCAGTACGCCTTTGCCCACAGACCCCCACCATAGTGTAGAAATTTACAATATAATGGTAGCCACTTTTTGTCTAACCACTATCCAGCAGGCCTTTCTGGTATGGTAGGACATCTAAGAAACAGGCGTTAAACCAGCATAGCTCGCTGATTCGTTGTGACATACAAGCCTGACCACCACGTCAAAGTAGCAGCTATCGGTCAGAGAAGACCGCAGGGTACGTCACACTAGGTCGACCTTTTCTAATCTCTTTGCCTTGCCATTGAGAAGGTAGCACCAGCATTGTACGGCTGGTCATTCGTAGAAAACAACCTATTTCTCTCACAGTCAAGTCCAGGGACGAAGTGTGTGACCGTATGTTCATATTCAACTCGAAACATATAGAATATGACATAAAGATTTTAAGTAGTCCTACGAAAAAAAGTTAAATATAACGAAGGCTAATTGAACAAAAGGTTTACTTCAGAAGGACTGGTTTTTCTTGTAGCTCGGATAAAGCACGTCGAAGATATAATGATATTTCAGGCACTTCTTGAAACTGGCGGCGACACTCATCTAAAGAATGTCTGCAAAGTAACTACCCTTACTTTGTGTCCAATCATATAGTCTCTCAAAGCCACGTCCAAAGTCTTCATAACACTATTCATCATTGAGTAACTAGGAAATGAAGTAATCGCAGTTGAACGTTACCTAAAGGAGATTTCCTTTGCTTGCAGTAATTCTTTACAGTTATTTTTCATCTGTCTACAACGGGAAAGAGCTGAAAAGAATGTGTTGTCGATGGGATTGACGTCGAGCGACAAAATTTGTGCATCTTCCGAAGAGATTTGATAGGAACCAACTAAATGATCCAATATGCACGCTTTTATTTCTGAAATTTTACTGCAAAGAAAAAATTGTAACATTTCGAATGGAAGCTACCTGTCTGATTGTAGCTTTTGTGCTGATTCCATCAAACATGCCGTTTCGGATTTGACAGACTTGATCGACAAGTTAATGAAAGTTACGCAAACTTACGGTCAGTGTTTTATTCATCTCTCTACAGGTATCAAGCATAGTGCTGATGTAAGTGTCTACAGAGTCAACACGCTAGAAAATTTTAATGAATATAAAATTCGTATACCTTCTTAACATCCCCAAAGACAAATAAAAGGTTTTCATAAAAATCTAGCTGGATCCTTTCCAGGTTACTACGAAGAGTCCTTCGGTTGACAGCTGAGTTGTTTGTCACGAGTGAAGAGATCGAGTTTAATCCATTTAGAAGAACCTCAAAAGAAGAAATATAACCGGTAGTAGTTTTACTTCTTCCTCCTCCGGTGTTCTATTTATTATTTTCTGTATTTTTAATTGAAGGGGATTTTCATCCATTTTGTTTTTGATATTCAGTTGATTAAGGATTAAAAATTATTTGTAATTGCCAAGCTTTAGCGCCTGTGTAAGTACGCTCAGAATTCTTACCCTAAAAAGAAAAGGATACATTTAATATCCCAAGGGGAGGAATTTTATCACTTCTTGCCATGAAAAGGATTAAAACATTTGTTTTAAAAATATCCAGATTACTATGTGTGCTACTTCAGCAAATGTAATAAGGAATTATTTTACTGGGATTTGAATAACTTGCATTCACCTTCCAAATCCAAAGATAGTTTTACTAATTTAACAGACCTACTGTTTGATAGCTTATCTCAGAAGACGGTCTAGAATGAATGAAATTTATAACTAGGCTTGCTTCATCAGTTTTACACTTTATTTATCATTACAGTAAAACGCACCAATTAGTCCTTTAAATGAACTGAGTAAAATGTTGAATAATTGAAAAAAATCAATTACTTTGAATTCTATATTTCGAAACACTGCATATTTAGTATAAACATGCAAGATTGAACTGACCGAACAAGTCGTATGGGATCGGCAGTTACTTGTCTGTAAATGATTTTTGGGTTTCACACAAGAATATTAAAAAAGCGCACGTACCATCCATGCTAGCAAAAAAAGATCTTTTCTACGGTAGTAAACGAAATAATGAAATCGATAACAAGTATTGATAGTGATACGACAATTCTCTATAAATCAAGTTTTCTATCTAGAATTGGGCTGTATATCTAACCGAGCACTTTCTTTGTAAGAAGACGGGGTGAGTAATAACTAGCGGCTTACATCTTGATATACCTAAAAGTAATAAGCATAAAATGGAACATCCGTCTTGATATAACCGGCATGAAATTCTGTAATACAGTAGCCCATAATCTACTCATTGTATGAAGTAAATGCTTTCAACACGAAGATTACCGACAGCTGCTACCGCGACATGCTGGTCGAGATTGTTTATCACGACGACCCAATGAGCCTGGCTGGTGAAACGCTTGTTCTCTCGAGATCCTACCATACCAGAAAGGTGAACAACGGTTAGACAAAAAGTAGTTACCCTTATCCTTAACACATTCTTAAACAATGAAATGATGCACTACGATGGCTTAGATCAGTCATCAGTGGTTATCCAAAACCACAGGACGTATGTTCGACAACACATTCCATAAAGTAAGCCAATTTTCGTGGCATCAAAAAGGCCGTACGTGACCAGCTCCTAGCAGATGTTTCCTGGACTCTGAGATTACGCACCAACCCTTTCTTTCCAGGTACCTCAAGACCTAGTCTTCCACGGTATGGGCAGCCAGTAAGTATCAACCACCTTCACAACTCTCAGTGTTCAAGTCCCCTCAGACCACTATCCACCTCCTTCATCCTTACCTTCTTATCTTCACGTCTCTCTCTTACATCATCCTTCCAGCTCTGCAGCTTTCGACAACGATCTGAGTCCACAAAAAAGGATCACTGGTCTCTTTAATCCAAGCTTTAAATTGCACATTGGAGCCTTCAACGTCCGTACCCTCCATCGAATTGGTCAAAACTCTAGCAACTCGGACCACAGATGTGTGCCGTGTTTGTGACACACGGACCGAAGTGCAGTTATTCATTCAATTTCTTCCGCCCAATATGGTGAATCCACAAAATTCACCCTTTGAGTTTTTGGAGATTCGATGACCAGCTCTCGCGGTCTTGCAAGTGTAGGCATAGCATTAAGCACTAGGGCAGAAAGCTCACCGCTAGACTGGATCCCATTTGACAGTCACCTATGCTCTATCCGGCTGAACGGCTCAGTGGGAACTAAAAAGAACAGTGAAACTCATAGTTGTCGCTTTACAATCTCCGCCTACGCACCCACTGACTGTAATTCGGATGAGTTACGCCGAAAACTGTCTAGCCTTCTTCTGAAAGCCAAACTTTCAGTTGTGGTTACTGTTGCAGGTGATTTCAATCCACAAGTGGGTAGACTGAATGAGGTAGAAAGGCACTTAGGTGGCACTTTCGGAGTCCCGGCTGGACGAACAGATAGCGGTGATCGCTTATTACAACTGTGCTCAGATAACCATTTATTTCTAGCTAGAACAAACTTCAGTTATAAAAAACATTATCTGACATGGGGTCCACCCAGCTCAACTTAGCAATGGACACAGATAGACCACATTGCTATCAGTTATCTCTGGAGAGGCCCGGTAGAAGACTCCCGTTCCTTCTGGAGCACGTGTCTGGACAGCGACCACGCTTTGGTTTTCGTGCACATATATCTGCATCTCAATGGAAGTAAAAAAACTTCAGCAACTAGACAATTATGAGTGCACCTCAACAATGAGAGCGCTAAGGCCGCTTTCAGTGAGAAATTGGCTAGGCAGTTATTGGAGCGGAACGCTATAGTTGATCCAGAAGAAGCTTGGTTCCATCTCCAGTCTGCTGTAAAAACACCGATGAAGACCGTAGCTGAATCTCAAACAGCAGTTAAAAGGAGCCAATGGATATCAGTAGCTTCTTCTGAATTAATGAATGCACGTGAACGCATCCCTGTAGGCTCTGAGTATAATAAGGAGCAAATGCAACTAAAATGTAGCCCAACAAAAAGTCTACGTAATGACAGCGAACAGAGGTGGGCCCTGAAGGCTAGAGATAGAAAAGGCAGCGGCGATAGGTAACAGTAGACAGGTATTCAGACTTATTAGGGAAAGTGGGGCAAAAAGGTTGACGGTTAGTGAATCTATAGCGAAGAAGAATAGGTCTGTGATTCACTCGCAGAGGAGACGACTGGAACGATGAGCAGAACACTTCGAGGGACAGTTCATCTGGTCTCAAGCTACTATTGTGTTGCCCTCCAAACAGTCGGATTCTGAATGGAACATTCAGAAGTCGAGAAGGCGATAGATAACTTGAAACGAAGAACGGCAGCATGTCCAGAAGGACTAGTTCCTAGGGTATATAAAGACGATAGTAGAGCGATTTTAGCCGTAACCTGAAGTATTAACTAGTGTATGGGAGTCAAATATGATCCCTTCTGACAGGTGCCAATCACTGACTATCCCAGTCTTCAAGAAAGGCGAGAAGTCCTCTTGTGACAACCACAGAGGAATCAACCTGAAAATCATAGTGCCTAAGATTCTAGGTTCTATAATCCTTCGACGCCTGAGTGAAGCTCGGGAACAACAAGCACGAGAAAACCAGACATACTTCAGACTTGATCATAAGTGTATCGACCAAATATTCACACTCCGTCAGATTCTGGAACATAGGTACGCTTATCGACGCCCAACAATAGCTGTACTTCTGGACCTGAAGGCGTTATTCGACTGCGTCGTTCGAGAAGTCTTATGGCAGTGTCTATCACTGAAAAGAGTACCGAGTAAGTACATCACCGTATTGAAGGCTCTTTACCTGAACACCTGTGGACGTGTTAGAGCCTATGGTGAGATATCGGGTGAGTTGTATACATCAAGTGGTGTCCGTCAAGGATGCCCACTCTCTATTCCTATTCAGTTTTATTATAGATGTTGATATAGAGGCCTCCCTCTCGTCATCTAACCATACAGGGATTGACCTGATCACAGGATGATTTTTGGTGGACCTAGAATACTCAGATGACATAGTCCTGTTAGGTGAAGATGCTGACAAGGTACTGAGTCTTTTGAATACCTTGAGTGGGAGTTTGAGAATGCTTGGGATGCGTTTTCCGCCACCCAAGTGCGAACTAACTCGTTTGTTGCATGATCCAGTCCACCACAATTAGGAAGATGATGCGTGATAGCAGGTGGTAGCCTTGTCTTACTCCTGCCTTCACTTCGAAGGCATCACTGAGCTTCGTATTGTGAATTACTTGGCATGTGGCGTCTTCATATAGTTTTTGAATGAGATTGATAAAGGTTTGTGGTATTCCGTAGTGTTGAGCCAACTGCCAAATTACTTCTCGGTCGACGCTGTCAAAGGCCTTTTCAAAGTCGATGAAGTTGAGGTAGAGGGTTGACTGCCATTCTATACTCTGTTCTATGATGATGCGAAGCGTTGCAATTTGGTCAGCATATGATTTGTACTTCCTGAATCCAGCCTATTCAGATAGTAGTTCTGAATCCAGAGCATCCTTTAGTCTCTCCAGGATGGTGCGACATATTTTGCTTTGGGTGGACAGGAGAATGATTCCGCGCCAGTTCTTGCAAAGACTCAGGTCCCCCCTTCTTCAGGAGTTTGAAAAGGTGAAAAACCTCATATTTTAGGTGAAATATTAAATGGATTATTTCTTTCGAAATATTTATTAGCCATTCGTATTGAAACAAGATAAACATGTTAGCGGTCAGAAGGCAGGTTTTAAAGGTAAACCTATAACGTTCTTATTGAATAAAGCAGTTATTGGTAGCTGCTTCAGAGCGAGTACTACAATACACCCAACTACTTAATCTGTTTACCTCATAAAATTTTCGAGGGTTAAGAGCAGTGGTCACTGTGAGCCAAAAATTATTGGATAGGGGACTTAGTAATAGAGTTGAAAAGAATCTGGGTCGTTATGTAGAGAGGAGGCTAGAATTCCGGTCACTCAAGGAAGGTGAAACACAACTTAACTATGATGGTTTGTCAATATATGAGTTTCAGGTTGCCGTAGTGACTTTTCCTTGGTTGAATTCTTAAATCCGAGGTTAGTGAAGTCTTTTTAATGGGAAATTTTTCGAAACATACTACAGGTGTCACTCGGTACGAGTTTGTTGAGAACAATGTACACGATAATAAGTCAATACTCCAAAAGAATCCTAAAAAGTAAAGATGTGCTGAAACATTGCTCACAACTCAGAGAGTTGATAAAAAGTTCCATGGATTTCTTGTGATTCTGCAAATATCGATGCTGCCGATGCGCAAATATGTTTCAGTCAATCGGATTGCCCGTTGACAAGTTACCTACAGTTACTTCTGTTGCAGACACCAGGAAGGGTTATTAACAACACAATTATGTTCTTCAGCACATCAAGTACAGGGAAATTCGGTATTTCTTTATGTTTTAG